AGACCAATACAGTCGGCCTTTGTCTCTAACGCCCTGGCCACTATACCCTATACGTCAACTAAACACGTCAACCGCGTTCCTCTCGTTCCAGCTAATCCCCGGAAGCTTTTCGCTTTCTCTCTCTCTCATCTCTTTTTTTTAAACAGTCTCCTCTGCCTCCTCGTCTCCCTCTCTCTCTCTCTTCTCTCTCTCTCTCTCTCTCCTCCTCATCCTCTCTCTCTCTCTCTCTCTCCTCTCCTCCTCTTCTCTCTCTCTCTCTTTCTCTCTCACTCTCTCTCTCGTCTCTCTTCTCTCTTCTCTCTCTCTCTCTCTTCCTCATCTCTCTTCTCCTCTTCTCGTACTCTCATCTCTCTCTCCTCTCTCTCATCTCTCTCCTCTCTCTCCTGCTCTCTGTCTCTCTCTGTATCTCTCTCCTCTCTCTCCGCTCGTCTCTCTCTCTCTCTCTCCTGCTCTTCGCTTTCTCCTCTCTCTCTCTCTCTCTCGCCGCTTGGCTCTCGCCTTTCTCTTCGCTTTCTCATACTCTCCTATCTGTATCTCTCTCGCGCACTCTCTCTCTCTCTTTATAGAATTCGCCTCCGTCGCGTGCTCTCTCGCTCTCTCCTCTCTTCTCGTCTCTCTCTCTACCTCTCTCTACTCTCTCTCTCTCGCTCTCTCTCTCGCTCTCTCTTTTTCTACCTCTCTCGCGCTCTCTCGCACTCTCTCGCTGCTCTACTCTCTCCTCTACCTTCGTTCCTGCCTCTGCGGTCACCTCTCTCTCTCTACCTCTCTCGCCTACCGAGACGCTCTCCTCTCTCTCCTATACCTCTTCTCTCTCTACCTCTCTCGCAGGCTCTCTTCGCTCTCTCTCTCTTTCTCTCTCTCTCTCTCTCTCTCGAACCAAACTTTTCTTAGTCACGCGTGAACCTTCTTACTCGTAAACTTGCGTTCCTTGTTACGCGAGACATTCTGGTGCAGGCCGGCATTCGGGAGGTACTGACCGTGGCTTCACTGCTCTCGAGGTCAAACTCGAGGTCAAGGTCGCGGTAAAGGTCAAGGTCGATGTCGGTCGGCGAGCTCTCGGGCGCCCGACGCCTCTCGTCCGCCACGCGGGGATGCCGTAGACTGGCGCCGCGTCGTCGTCGCCGGTGCAGTCCGGCATGCCGCGGACGTCCGCAGCGCGTCTCGGCAGCAGTCTGCGCAGGAAGACGCGACAACGACCGCCTGACGTCGGCTCCTCCCCCTGCGCCAGCCTCCTCCTTCTCCTCCTCCTCCTCCTCCTCCTCCTCCTCCTCCTCTTCTCTCTCTTCACTGGGGCTCACGCCGAGACGCGGGAAGCCGTGGCGACGAGGTTCCGGGGAAGAGAAGAAGCCATCCGCGTCCCGACGCCGCCGAAATATGTCGCCCATCAAACCGGGAGGGGCGCCACCGTATGCAATTCTTCGCCGGCGGACTTTCGACGATTTTTTCGACGCGTCGCGATGCACGATCTGTGACGATGCCTGACTGCCTTGAGCGCGCGTTAGAAGGAAGTTTCCTCTATACTGGCGTCAAAATGCGGCCGTTTACAGCAATCTAGTAGTCGACAGCTCATCTCATAGTCAAATCTAGATTTGCTGAACAGGGTCGACTTGTTCTGGCAATAACGTTATAGACAGATTGACTATGCCAACCAATGGTGACTTATTCTCTACAGGAATGATGACGACTTGCTCATAGCAACCTCGCCTTTACGAAATAGCCTTCCTCTGTCTCCGTCTTTGGTTTATGTAGCGCGTCACGAGGGTAGCAAGCACGTCATGTGAATTTACGGCCAACGCAGCGTGTTGGAACAATATTCCGCACATTTTGAGACAATAAGCCCTTCTAGAGCCATCGGACAACGCTACTGTTAATGCATATATATGGCACGCGCGTGTGCACGTGGGCATTTCTGTTTTCTCGCGCATTACTGCCTCATTCCCCGCTACCTGTTCATAAGGAAGGTTATACTCGGGCGTTCGTACAGTGTGGAGTTACTGCTACAAGAAGCCGTGATACCTTCGCACCAAACACCTATCTACCTCATCATGAGACTGCTGCTAGACAGCCAATTTGGTTGGTCATGCTTGCTGGCCAACAATCTTGACTCCAGATAGCATCTCACTTCATATCACTTCTGCTATCATATTACATACAGGTTACTGGTGCTCATAGGGTCTATGTCCCCCAGGGTACTGCCGAAACGTACCCTGGGTACGGTCCGGTATACCGGAACGTACCCTGGTCACTATTTGATATGGTTAGGGTTAGGATTAGGGTTAGGATTAGGGTTAGGATTAGGGTTAGGGTTAGAGTTAGGGAGTAGGCGTAGGCGACTCCCTAGACTCGTTAGTGGAGTAGGCGAGGAACGGTACGGCATATTAGATAGTACCAGGGTACGTTCCAGCAGTACCCTGGGGGACATAGACCCTCTCAGCGTTACTGGTGCAGTGAGTTACTGGTGGCAGCTAGACCAGCCACAATATTTGCACAGGACTCAAGCGCCTGGCTAGTGCACGTGTGCACATTGTGGCATGTCTGCAATGGCTACATGTCAATGTTATCAGCATTAATTTGAATACATTGTGATAAATGGGTCTAACCACCCCACTTGGAACGTTTCAATGATAAAATGATGGTATATAACCACGAAAGAGATTATACCGTATCTACAATCTTATACGTTTTGCTTCTGTTAGAGCACTAGTGTAATATAGAGTATAGAGGTTGTTGGTGCCTAACCCTAACCTAAATAACATTAAACCACAAACTAATGGAGTATCACCCCGCGTGGAGCGTAGGAGCGTGCTTGTGAGCTACTGCAGGTCCTGCCCCACCTACAGCAGTGCCACCTGTCGTGTCACCCACGATACAAGCACACGTATCCATAGCTCTAGTACTATATCCCTTGGCCTTGTTACCACAGGGCCAACAAGGCCAAGGGCTATATACTAGTACTAGAGCTAACGTACGTAACCATAACAACTATTCAACCACCACTGCACTGGCCACCGGCACAACATTTCGGAGAATAAAATAACACCGGTAGTAGATGAAGTTGAGTCATTTACTCGTAAAAATTACCCATTACGTGTCAAGTACAGTGTCACTGTAGCACGAAGGGTCGTTGTCGTATAGAGTACTACATATATGTACCCGAGGTAACTATCTGATATGGTTAGGGTTAGGGTTAGGGTGGGTAGGGTTAGGGTTAGGGTTAGGGTTAGGGTTAGGGTTAGGGTTAGGGTTAGGGTTAGGGTTAGGGTTAGGGTTAGGGTACCCTATACGACAACGACCCCTTCAGCGTCACTGTACCGCCATCCCCCTTTCGCAACCGCCCGCCGCACACTACACTAGCTTGCGCTTCATTTACTTATTTAACTTTCACCTTTCTTTTGATGTTGACATTTTTACACTTGCAATAACATCAGGAGCAAGTGTATTATCTTATACTCTTATCTTACTGTTATCTTGTCTTTACTATCTTACTCCTTATAGTTAATGTAAATATGCAGCTATCAGTACAGTCAGACTGTACCAAAGCAGTTTCGCAATGCGCAATCGAAATCACGAAGGATGAGCAGGTAATTTGTCTTAACTAACCATTAGTATTAATTTATTCTCGGGAAAAAATTCCGAAATTACACACGTGCCTATGCTGCTGGTCTGACGTGGAAGAGAATGACATACAACAGCAGGGTGCGAAATTAACGCGAGTCCGGAGTCAAATACTCCCTCATTTACTGTCGGACTCCCTGATTTGACATATGCAGGAGTCCGTGTGACTCCCAGAAAATTCTGTTATATACTAACTAGTTCGTTCCAGAGCACGGCCTCGCGGAATTGCCGTACTTTTTCAGCAAATGTCCAAAGATAATTTGGTAGACGTGCAACCGCATGAATCTTCAAAATAAGCACACACGTTATTGTTAATATCTTTAGTTTTGAATTTCAGACTGCGGACTCCCTCATTTTGCTGCAGGCTCCCGTGAGGCTCAAAATAGCTCCCGTAAAATTTATGACAAGAGCTATTTTATCTACAGACTTTTGAAAAAGAGCTCCAATGAAAAAAGTTATTTTTTCCCTTGTATGCACCACATATCAATTTCTTATTTGGAAGAAAAAAATCAAATAATGAGCTGCAATTATGCTTATGAACTTACTCATGCGCTTAGAAATATAGCACCTTACACCGTCCGATCAATCACAGACTGATCCACCGGTTGATTTTAATTAGTGCAACATCACTGGCTCACTGCAGAGAATACTTTAATAATCAAATAATCGGTTACACTGCCAAGTGAAGATGAGAATTATTAGAGCTAGGCACCCTCTTGTTCCCATGCTGTTCATAATGTCTGACAACCTTGCAGAATTCATCTATATAGTAATTATCTCTGGGTAACAGCAGATGCAAACGCCATAAAGCAGGTGATAATAGGTGGAATGTGCCATAAAGCAGCCGAGAACAGGTGAAAACACGGTACAGTCGTGTTTCCACGCTTGTATATATCCTACAGAGAAAACAGTAACACTGTTTATAGCAAATTCGGGCAATAATTCATCTCTATTAAAGTGGTTGATTAAAAACGGTTAAACTTTATCGGTGGTTCCCAATGTTTTTCCAATACAGTACAGATGCACAAACAGGAAAAACGTTATTTTGCAAGAGGTAAATAAAATGTACAGCTCATGTGCAGGCATCTTTTCATTGGCAGGGCTCCTAACCCCCTATCATGTCTTACAAACATAAGACCTTGGGATGAGCATGCGAATAAATAAAATGGGTAATGACTTATAATACTAGTTTCACATCCAACATACAATTAACGATCAATCGTATTGACCTGGCATTTATTAATCACGCGCCAATCAGATAAATTGGCCTAGGGTAGGCAACACCATCCTCGATACCTAAAGCTTGCAATCGTATCGATTGCTGTTCCCATGATCAGTCATAAAGATGCAGAGGTGAAACTACGGGAGTTAGTTGCGCGGGCTGCACCGATGCCAACTGCAGTTGTCAGAGTTGGCCACCAGGTGTCGGTGATAGCTAGCGAGCCCGCTAGGCATGGGGCACCATGGCATATTCAAAATTATCACAAGCTGTATTCTTACTTTGAACACCAAGAGAGTTGATGAGAGGAGAAGTTACAATAAACTTGTTCTTTTCCCCTCAATATATATATATATATATATAAACACACACACAAGAATGTATATCAATATACGAAGCAACACAACACGATGGTCAATCACAAACACACGAACTGACGGCGCTGACGATCCGGATGCTCTGTGTCTGCGTGACTGGCCACGAGTGTGTGTGTGTGTGTGCGCGCGCTCTCGCGTGTGCGTGTGTGTGTGTACGTGTACGTGTACGTATGCGTACGTCCGCGGGGCGGTAGAGAGGGAGATCGAACTGGCCGACACCTTACGCACGAGGCGGCCTGCGTACGTATACGACGAGGGGGTGGGTGATTGACTCCACTCCCCGGGATTCGCTCTTTGTTCGGCCCGATCAACGGCTGCGCGGCAATCACTGCCCCTGCCTGCTCATGCTGCTGCTGCTGCTGATGATGATGATGCTGTCTGGCCCATTTTCCTAATTAAATTCTTAGGCTTTTAATAATTCACCGGCGAGCGCCGCACGGTAACGATATGCCCCAGCGCCTAATACGATAGCGGGTGGGTTTTCTGAGAGCCGATCTGCTATTTGGTTTTCTCAGAGCAGATCTGCTATTTCTTTGAAATGCGTCTCACACACGTTTCACGATTTCGTGTCTCTTATGTACCTTATTGTTACCACACCTTTACTTGCCAACAGTGACTCACTGCCGCTATTACAAGTCTGCGGGATGTATCAGATAACCTGAAACTAGTCTACGTAACACCACACTGCCATTATGGAAACTGTGACGTCACATCGCGATTATTGAATTTCATTAAAGGAAAGATGATGCGCGTTTATTTTTCACGAGTAAATAATTGGCAAATAAGAGCGACCACTTCTAAGTGAATCTAGCAAAGAAACATAATGAAGTAACATGATAGTTAATGAAAAAGAACACTAATTAACACGGCACAAACTTCTCTCCATCAGATCAAGAGCGAATTGAAACAAATTAATCATATTATTTGTCTTAATTCACTCCCTGATTGTACACATGCAGTGGTTTGATAAACGTAATAATAAATCAACAACATCGTTTACTCGCAGTCACTACCTATGTTCAAGGTAACCCAGATACGTCTGAAGATTACACGTGAGTTTTCTGTTGATTCAAGATATTCACTAGCGGTGCACGTGATCGGTACGTAGACTGACTACGCACGTCGTTGCGTTGACACCAAGGTTGTTTAACCTCATGCCGCAAGAACGTTCGAGTCACTCTAACCGGTAAACGCAAGCTGCGGTATAATGCCCCTTATTGGCTATGAACTATGCTCATGGCCTTAAAAGTATTTACTATCAAATTTTGCGCAGGGGATAGATAGTGATCCGCTAGGGGACGGCTCGGATTGGCTAATTTTGTCTCTTATTTATTTTGATTATTTTTTGCTAAATTTGTTTATTTTTTAGAATTAGGGTTAGGGTTAGGGTTAGGATTAGGGTTAGGGTTAGGATTAGGGTTAGGGTTAGGGTTAGGATTTGGGTTAGGGTTAGGGTTAGGGTTAGGGTTAGGGGTAGGGTTAACTGATTTCTATATACACAACACACTAATAATGCGCCATCTAGCGGATAACTATCTCTCCCCTGAGACCTACTTTTTACTATCAGTGAGTGGATTAAAACGCACACGCATCGTGATGTGTGTAACTATATGACATTAACAACTAATAACACCAGGTCCTATTATTAGCTCTTGATGTCATGTACGTATCACTTGCAAGAAACAAACGCGAGCGCCATCTGGCAGCGAATTGTCGCACCACCGCTATATAGCTATCATCCTTCCATCGATCGTCGCGAAATCAAAACTGCCACCTAAACACGCACACTCACACGAGCACGCGCGCGCTCGCACGCACGCACACACACACACACACACACGCACACACACACGCACGCTCACACACACGCACGCTCACACACACGCACACACACACATAGTTCCCCCTTCCTCGCTCTCTTTCTATTCATTTTTCCCCTCGTCCCGCCCACCCCCTTTCTCTCACTCTCCCTCTTTCTCTCTCTCTTCTCTCTCTCTCTCTCTCTCTCTCTCTCTCTCTCTCTCTCTCTCTCTCTCTCTCTCTCTCTCTCTCTCTCTCTTCTTTTCCCTCTTGCTTTTCTTCCCGCCTCTCTCAGAGAAGGGTCCCGACTATAGTCATGATCCCCGGAACTCGGGCCCCTATCACTAATAAATCGATGATAAGTAAACATGAATTGTATTAATGTAAAGTCTCTTAAAAGTAAAGTCTCAATGTTTATGTTCTCTCTCTCTCTCTCGCTCTCTCTCTCTCTCTCTCTCTCTCTCTCTCTCTCTCTCATATATATATATGTTTGTTTATTTATTTATTTATTTAATTATTTACATATACAGACCTAGCGTCTAACAACGTACAACGTAAAGTACAAAAAAGAACATGTTACTTCACCTTTTCCGAACAAAAGATGTGAAAGCAAGAAGAGGAAGACAGAGCGCCCGGTTCCCTCCCCTCCCCCTTACCTTCTCCGTGAGCGCCGTGTATTTGCCGGAGAGGTCGTCTCGCTCGGTGCGACTCATGGAGAGGAGCTCCTCCAGCCGCGCCACCTCCTTCTCCAATATGCTGTTCTCATCCTGGGAAACATCAGCCGTGTTACCGTGTTGTGATATGCTACCCCACATAACCAATACATACAATACACGACCCCACGCACAATCTATGCATGCAATGTGTGACCGCACACACGACCTATAATACTTGACCCCACACGACCGATACATGCAATATGTGACCCCACACACGACCGACACTTGCAATACGCAACTGACACATCTAGAATACATGACCACACACACGACCTATGCATGTAATACTCAACACCACGCACGACTGATGCATACAATTCATAGGACACGTGCAATTTTCGCGAGCTAGCGTACCGCTCACCTGTAACGATGTGTATGCGCGTGTAGTGGAAGACATAGACGGCGGCGAGAAATCGAGTTCCTCCAGCGTGTCGGACAGATTCCGCGTGATTATGTCTCGCACGCGCGAAGCCAAACCATCGCTTTCTTCCGTGTCGTCTGCGGACGAACTCACGCCACTCGCACTCCTCTGCGCGAGGACATTCTCCTCCAGCTTCTAGAGACGCGTACCGAAAAACAAAGCGATAATCAAACAAACAATGAACTTCACAAACGAATCAGTTTTACGGACATTTTTACCATAGTTTATAACTAGTTGGGCAGACATTGCACACTTTTCTGCACGACCCATGCTACAGCGTCCAGAGTGTTCGATCAGTTAAGGTCACAAGCGAAAAACAAAGCGATAAACAAACAAACGAATCACTTTTACGGAAACTTTTACCACAGTTTAACTAGTTAGGCAGACATTGCACACTCTTACACACTACCCCCAGAATGTTGGATCAGTTAAGGTTATAAGCGAACGAAGCTACCAAAACCTGTAGCTAACAAAGCATTTCAACCGAACGTACCAATATCTAACGTACGATGGCTCTTACCGTTTCTCTGTACTTCAACGCTATTGTCAACTACGAACACGCTATTGCTCACCACGTATTTATATGTCAGCACACATTTTTGAGATTTGATAGGGGAGAAATTCAAACAAGGTGGCCATTACTGTTTGAATTCTGCATGATTTTGCGCACTCTCACCGGTCTCGTATTAGTTCTCGCGCACGGGCAATAATGCAAGTATGGAGTTTACCAATGTTTGAAAATAACTCCCTTCCAAATTGTCCAATTATGACATACGAATACCGAGGTAAATACAATAGTACAATAAATACAATTTAAGAAGTGTGCCATGACTGCGAATACACTTGCAACATGTAACAAGGCAGGTCGAATGTTTTATTTATAAAATTAGCATTTGTTTTCAAGCTACGAGGCTTTTCGTGTGGAAGGGTGTGAGGCTCCTACGACGTGTACCAGTCGTACAGCCTGCTCTGGCTAGGTCTACAAATACCACGTCATCTAGTCTGTGTCAGTATAGAACATATCTAATATATTAAATGGCACAAACTAGGTGATGGCATGATTATTCAGATGCTGATCTATATATTACAATCCAGAAGTGTACTGTGTAGTACTTAGTATTACACTTCTGGATTTTGCGATATCATGGAATACGTTTATATACAGCGGAAATCATAATCATCTTACCTCTACCCCAAACTAGGGTCCCTGTATACAGAGAGTTGCGCCAACTCAGGATTTGACGCCATTTTGTTTCCAAATGGATCCTCACCGCTGCCGCTTAAGTACAGCGCTGTATGGATACGCTGTACAATATTCCGTAGTAATTAATTAGACTAATCGTGCTTCAATAAACTCAAAATTTACAGAGATTATAGCTAAGACATGTGGCTATGTGTATCTAGATTTCTAGAAATGTAACTCAAATTGTTCGCGCCATATGATAATTTAATTGTACACTTTCTTACGGCCATAGCCGTGCGTATCCATTTGGAAACAACATGTCGTCCAGCGACCACGTGACCGATTTTTTCCGACTCGTCATGGCGCAACTCTCTGTATATAGGGACCCTACCCCAAACCCTACTTGTTTGAAACCAAAATATATAAACATTTATAACACATTATAACAATGACAGATCATGATTCATAATGCCACAAATAAAACCAGATGTGTAGTCGACAGTCATTGAGTCAATCTAGTATAATTACTATAAGTAATATAAGTATACGTAATATTATTATTATTATATATTATTACTAAGCCTAATGCTCATAGCGTCTATGTCCCCCAGGGTGCTGCCGGAACGTACCCTTGGTACGGTCCGATATACCAGAACGTACCCTGGTAACTATCTAGCTGATATGGTTAGGGTTAGGGTTAGGTTTAGGTTTAGGGTTAGGGTTGGGGTTAGGGTTAGGGAGTAGGCGTAGGCGACTCGGACTCCCTAGACTCATTAGTGGAGTAGGCAAGGGTACGGTCCGGCATATATTAGATAGTAGTATTTAGTACCAGGGTACGTTCCGGTATACCGGACCGTACCCAGGGTACGTTCCGGCAGTACCCTGGGGGACATAGACCCTCTCAGCAATACTAATACTAATACTAATACTAATAACTAATATAATAAGTATATATAAGTACTAAAGTAGTGATTACCTGTTACTGTTAGTGATATTACTTATTAGTTATTACTGTGAAGTTACACAGAATATGTCACTATGATTTCATTGGGAGATACTACAGTCTACTTAAAATCAGTGGACGCGATCGGTATCATGAGAGAAGATATGGTGCTGTCACCTGTAAATGTAATGACAACTAATGTGGAATGTATTATAATTATGTAGACCTGATGTTATGATGACTGTCGACGACAACAATCAACCCCGACAACCAGACGATAATAAACAAAACAAAAGATAAACAAGTAAATCATGTCTTGCGAGAAAGCTAAATCCGGTAACGGGAGATGATTGTCTATTGTTACCTCGTAGTTTGAAAAGCTTGAGGAACTCATGCAAAACAAAATAAACCGATGACAAACAATAACAGAGAATTTCAAGTGAAGCGGTGCAGTGATAACGCACCAACGAGCTAGCTCAGCTCTTATTGGTCCATTTTCAGCGCTAGCGTTGTCATCACTTTCGTAACCATGCACGCGCACACGATTAGCGTAGTTTCATTCTTGCTGTCGGTGGTAACTAGAGCAGGCTTATTTAATTGCTCGTTAGATGGCGCGCAGGTCAATACAAATGGCCTCACTCTCGTTGTGAATTTGTTAGCATTGTCCCGCGTCCAATGCGTCAGAGACAAATGGTTATTCCTATCTAGTAACCATATCACACTATCAGTTGTTATTTATGGTAATGTATGGGGCTGCTTTATCATACGTTTTATCGCGTTTGGGATCAAATTCCACACGTTTTCAACCATCCAATTACGTATTCGGATTCATCAATTTCAATGCCGATGTATAGAAAGCAAACTAAAATGCCATTGAAAAAAAAATACCAAAATGCCATGCCAGAAAAAATAGCTTCCCAGCAATAATAACGACTATAAACACATCAACACATGGTATAGCTAATAGCTTGGATATTGCTTTAGCTATTGCTATTGCAATTTGTTAATATTGCTATATGTTATTGCATGTTCACGTCGCCACGTAGGCCTACTGTCCGTTATAGTATAAACATATACATATACCTATATTATATATATCAATCTTATCATGAGTAAATAATCTCATACAGCTGGGCGCCCGGCCTATAGATAGATATCAGAAGTAGATAATAGCTAGGGCCCTAGGTCTCTAGGTCGCTTAATATATGTCCCTTATTATCTACTTCTGATAGATATCATAGGGCCTACATTCTAGTAGGTACATGTTCACTGCTAGACGGGTGAAATTCCACGAAAATACCTACGTCATATTTATAAGAAAACAAACCGATGCAAAGCAAGCTTATATTCACATCCTAAATTTGTTATAATATTATATAGCTTATAATTATTATATATGACGTCTTTGTGAATCTGATTCATTCATTTCAAAACGAGGAACCTTTAATATCGCCGCTAGGTGCACGTCCCTCTGCGAGCGCTGCTCCCGCTTGCTCGCCATCTCTGTCGTCTGCATGTGTCCCGGCTGTAGATTCACGCGCTACAAACACCTGTATATTATATACACACCTCACACACCTCTACGTGCTTCTACATCACTTATACGCCCGTACAAAAACCCGTATCGTGGCACGGTCTACTGGCGCGAGAGCAGCCGGATGGCGAATGTACGCGTGTAGATGCGCCATGTTATTGCAGACGGACTTTTTTCGTAACCGTTTCAAATGTTTTCGCAGAGGAACGCTTCCTAGTTAACGGGGAACGTCGTGAACGGGAAACGTGTACGAGTTCGTTCGTCGCGCGACTTTCGCGCCAGTCTACGCCCGACCGTAGCTATGGTGATCACTAGTAAACTTCGTCGATCGCTGGTATGCGATTAATATTTTACGATATCCTGCGCAACCTTCTTCGCCTCGACCACCACTCGATCGGGTTAACGCAGTAACCGCGGGTGTCTCGGCATGGGGAAAAGCTGGGCCGTTCTCATGAACAGTTGTAAATTGACATCTAATATCCAGAAACAAGATGGCTGGACTGGTGTTTGATAATAAATATGAAGTTTTATAACATGGATTTCGAATCCCCTAAAATTTGGAGCACTGATTGGCGTTTGGATTCATAGTTTAAATGCGATGAGATATGGGAGGAGTTGTAAATCAGTGTTATCTATAAATCATAACACTGATTTTACATGCCTAGCTAACAAAAACACAGATAACCCAAAACTAAATGACAGGGTCTACCCTCTGGCATATATACTGCGCTGATATATAGTTTTACAAAATTTTATAACATATAACTTTTATTATCTTAGGCGGTAAATATATCACACCGGCTTATATAGAATGGCTACACACACATAAATAAATACAGACGTATTATATAATATAACACTGAACGCCTTATCGTGGCAATGTAAACAAACATTGGCAAACACCCGGAGGGGCAATGTCAGCAATCAGTGACCAAGTGTCAATTGTGAAGGGAAAATCGATCATTGCCTACATACACCGCACGTTTTTCAATATTATACAATATTTTCCCGGGCGTGCGCGACTGAGCGGGCCCTGAGTATGCAGTGCACCTATGGACCCTGCCGCAAATTAGCATCCGTACGCCTCTAAACACGTTACACGCACAGGTAGGAAGTCCCGTTAACAAAACAGCTGGGCCTTGCCCCGGGCATGTTTTACTGTTGGTCGCTCTCTCTCTCTCTCTCATGGGTATGCACACACGTCATGACACACGTACACACACGCTGTACACGTACACATGTACATACACACACATACACACACACACACGGCGCGGGTGTCTCAAGGGGCTCCCTTCGCACGATAACGCAATAGCGAAAGGATAACACGCACACACACGCACGCGCGCGCGCCACGCCACGCAATCACACACACACACACACACAAGCAGCACACACACATCACGAACACGCACGCACGCACGCACGCACGCACACACACACACACACACACACACACACACACACAACACGTCACGCACCGCCACACACAACACACAAACACACGAAAACACACACGCACGCACGCCGCACGCGCACGCACGCACACACACACACACCCTGCGTGGGAGACACACACGGCTACGTGGCCACGAGACTTTCCCGCACACGCCCCAACCCTGAAGACAATCACCGGCCGACCATGGCGAATGACACCGTCTCCCTTGTCGCAAGCAAGCCACCGACGAGGCAACACAGCCAGGCGCCACTTCAGGAAGACGAAGAAGCAGAGGGGACTGGATCGACAGCAAAAAAGAAGAAGCGGAGAGACAGGATCACGGGGGTATGCGTAAGGGGAGAAGACCCGCACACACGCGCGTTTACCTCCCTCCATGGGTCAGTCGGTAAGGATCGATTCTAAGTCAAGACCCCGGGGATGAGGATTATGCGTAAGATTAGGGCTTGGGTAAGGTTGGAGTTGGTGCGTTAAGGTTAAGGGTTGGAATTAGAGTTGAGCATTAGAACTAGAGTTAGGGTTAGGGTCACGGTCAGGGTTAGTGATAGGCTGGGGCTATGTTAGGGTTTGGGCTAGGGGTAAGGTGAGGGCTCAGGTTAAGGTGAGGGCTATGCTCAAGGTCAGGGTTGGGATTAAGGATAGGGTTAGGGTTAGGATTGGGCTTAGGAATAGGGTTAGGCTTAGGGATATGGTTAGGGTTAAGCTTAGGCTTAGGGATAGGGATAGGGTTAGTGTTAAGGTGATGACGGTGGTGATTCATGTAGACCGAGGACGGGACGCCTTACCTCCGACTCAGAAGAAGTACTATCCCAAGTCCTCCTCGTAGTCATTGCGCTCAGCTACGGATGCTCAATCACTGATACCTCTCAATATATATATATATATATAAACCTCTCTTTCTATCAATATATATATATGTATATATATATATATATAAACACACACACAAGAATGTATATCAATATACGAAGCAACACAACACGATGAGTCAATCACAACACACGAACTGACGGCGCTGACGATCCGGATGCTCTGTGTCTGCGCTGACTGGCCACGAGAGTGGTTGTGTGTGTCGTCGCGCGCGCTCTCGCGTGTGCGTGTGTGTGTGTACGTGTACGTGTACGTATGCGTACGAGTCCGCGGGGCGGTAGAGAGGGAGATCGACTGGCCGACACCTTACGCACGAGGCGGCCTGCGTACGTATTACGACGAGGGGGTGGGTGATTGACTCCACTCCCCGGCGATTCGCCATCTTTGTTCGGCCCGATCAACGCTGCGCGGCAATCACTGCCCCTGCCCTGCTCCATGCTGCTGCTGCTGCTGATGATGATGATGCTGTCTGGCCCATTTTCCTAATTAAATTCTTAGGCTTTTAATAATTCACCGCGCGAGCGCCGCACGGTAACGATATGCCCCAGCCGCCTAATTACTACTACATGTAGAGCGATAGAGGAGGAGGGGGAGAGGGGAGAGAGAGGGGGAGGGGGGAGGGGGAGAAGAGAGGGAGAGAGGGGGAGAGGGAGAGAGAGGCGAGAGAGGGGGAGGGGGAGAGAGAGGGCGAGGAGGGGAGGGGAGAGAGAGGGAGAGAGGGAGAGAGGGGGAGGGGAAAGACGGAGGGAGAGAGTCGGACGGGGCAGCGGGCAGTCGCGGGCGGCCCACTTTCGCTGCTGCTGCTGGCTGCTGCGTGCTGCTCTTCTAGTAGGCAGCCTACTCGCCGTGATGCGAAAATGATTGCCTAGCGTGCGAGAGCGTATGGTACCGCGCGCGCGCGTGCGTGTGTTGTATGTTAACCAGAGTTTGGGGCGGGCGGGTGTAAGTACTATTACGGCTCACTGACCCCTCCCGCCGGCGGAGAGAAGGGAGAAAGGGCTCTCGTGCCTCCTCTCTAGC